GGTATAACTGATCCGTCTGTATTAAGAGCAATCCACTCGGGTGGTGGTGACGTCCAAGAGACATCTACCACCGTCTTGGCGGGTGAAGCAGTAGTATTAATGGATTGGTTTCGTGTCAGAACCTCCCCAATTATCTCGAACCATAGTTTGATATGCTGTGACAAAGTCTTGCGAGTGGTGTGATTATCGGTGAAAAGAAGCTCATTCTTTATCTTTCAAAGGGACCAACATGCAACCCCATAGAGAAGGCTCGTGGTCGATTGCATCAGGTGGTGACGGATCCAAGGCATCAATGGAGAATCCCAATTCGTGTGACTATCAGGAAAATAGGCAAGAAGCGTCCAGGTGCTAACCGCAAAGGGGCAATCCCGCAATACATGCATGACTGTTTCAGGTGCTTGTTGACACCGGCTGCACGTACCATTGTCCGCCATATGTCGACGTCTCCTCTCCTCATTTGTTAGTAAACGATCATGGGACGCTAGCCAAAGAAAGTGTCCAATCCGGTTTGGTCCGTGCCAACGCCAAACTTGGAGCCAGTCCATCGTACCAAGTGGTTCTCGTTCAGTAGCGAGCAGATCATAGGCGCAATGGATGCTGAATCTCCCATCCTTCTCAACACCCCATACTAGAACATCATCCTCTCTCCCCTCTTTCGGGGGGGGGGGGGGGGGGGGGGGGGACATTCCCGGAATGTGAGCAACAACAGATCCCGACAACAAAAGATTAAGAAAATCAAAGTCCCACTCACCTGAAGTAGTCACCATGTCTGCAATTGTAGCATCTAGATTCGGTAGAGGCTCGTCTAGTGAAAGGAAATCGGCCAACCTGATTCCTCGATCCACCCAACAGTGTTGCCACAAAAAAGTGCCGTGTCCATCTCGAATGCCATTTCTCATTCCCAACTCCACTATTGACATAACCACCACAACACCATGCCAAGTTGGCGACTTCGGGAAAGAATGTCGAGAGTGGAAACCATCAACATCCTCTCGTTGATACTCGCTCAAAATAACCTGCACCCAAAGCTCTTTATGTCTCCTAAAACCTAACTTTATCATATACGCTCCATTGAGCTCTCGCGCAATGCGCAAGCTCAAGCCACCTTGGTTTTTGGGTTGGCAGATCTTCTCCCATTAGAGTAAATGGGTTTTCCGAACATCCATCGTAGAGCCCCGGACGAATTGCTTGATGCGTTTGTCAATCACATTGCAAATATGACTAGATAACACAACGGTGTGCACAATATAGGACGGAATAGCTGAGAGAACAGGTTGGGCCAGAGTAACTCTACCAACCAATGCTAACGAAGAAAATTTCCATCCTGTAAGCTTGCGGTCCATCCTGTCAAGCAATGCACATCTATATATTGTAGGTTTAGTTATCAATTCTAAATAATAATATCCAAATTTTTAAAAATAGACATAATTTGGGATTAGGACCGAATCATCCTTACACCATTTTTAATTTTGAATTTTAATTACTCGTAGTAACTTTTATTGTTATACCCACCGGCGGACACATAAGTTTCTCAATACAGTATGGTCACATGAAAGACCAACACAGGTTGAATTTGACACTCGTCTATTCTGTCTACTTCATGAATCTTATTTTTAATCACGTATAAATTAATTAGTTAGTTTCAAGCGATGTACATCTATATATATTAGATTTAGTTTTCAATCCATTATGATAATTCTAAACAACAATATCCAACTTTTTGAAAGAAACATAATTTGAAATAGAACCGAATCATTCTTACACCACTTTTTAATTTTGGATTTGAATTTAATTTACTCTTCATACTATAAATGGCCATAATTTCCTTTCATTACAATTCAGGTTTACGACTCCTTCATTCCACACAACTGCATTTAATAATCTCATTTTACAAATTGAACATTTATTATACTATACATTGCAAAAAATAAAAGGCTCTCCCACAAATTTATCACGAATTGTCACATCTTTTGGTCACGACTTTGTGCTATGTTTTTCATGGCTAGACCGCTTTTACATATTTCTTGGCTCGACTTTGACAAAGATCTACTAATCCATGATAAATCTTTGATAAAATCCCTTTTAAAGTCATTTTGTTGCGAGATATTTTGAAATTGACACACAACTATGAAACGTTGTATTATCAATCCTCGACATATCAGTGTTGAATTCACAATTTTCTTTATAGTCGTTGTCTTTGATTTTGTTATTCAATATTATTTTTATTAAATATTCGAGTAATTGTTGAAACATTCAAGCATCAACCAATTAACAAGCATAAACTAAACTTCTACTCCCTCCGTCCCGGAATTATCTTCATTCTTTCCTTTTCGGTCCGTCCCAAATTTATCTCCTTTTTCTCTTTTTGGTAAAAAATATGTGATTCACAACCATTCTTACACATTTCTCTCTCCTCTGCATAACTCTCCACCACACAAATCCCACTATCTTAAAACCCGTGCCCGGTCAAAAATGGAGTTAAATATGGGACGGAGGGAGTACATTCTAAAATATTCATCAAGCTTATCAATTGCTCACTCAAATCAAATGTTCTTTTGGAGCAGCAGCACCAAGTCTACTCCGCTCTTTTGGCCTCGTCCTAGATGACACGACTAAAGCCCCAAGGGAAAACACTGATCCAAATACAACCAAAAGCAACCCTTTTTACATCGTCATATACCTTCAAAATCTGACAATTTGTGAGTGCCCTCATTGGTAGTTGTGGAGATGGGGACGCCTGGTCATAACCTATACAAGCACGTCCCGAGGCTGAATTAGTTCCCTCAAACAAAAACAAAGATAAATCTCTAAGGCGAAAAAGAAAAAAGAAAATATATGAGATTGTTTTAAGAGAACTGCTAGAATGTTATATTTATTATTTAGAGTTTTTCCAAATAAAAAAAGTGGAAATCCACAAATAACCTGTCACAAACCGGTAAGAGATGACCAAAAGAATATAGGGAGATTTCATAAAATAAGAGTAAATGGAGTTTAAAATTCCAAAATAGGACTACTATGTTTTTATTCCCGAAATAGAACTAACATGACACTATTTACTGCCATCTTATTGACGTGACTGTCAAATAGTTACAGTACAGTGCATTTAACATGGCGATATTTATTATAATTAATGGCAGTATTTTTGAATCATGGCAGAATTTCAAACCTCATTTACTCCCATTTAGAGCAATTTCCCAAGAATATAAATAAATTACGTAATTCAAATGTAGGATTATTTTTTGCATTACTTACAGGTAATAGGACCAAATAGGATTGGCCATTCAAAAAATAAATGACCTAGTATAACATATCAAAATAATCCGATTCATTTTCTAGTATACAATCTAAAACATGAGTCTTATTTCTCTAATCTTAATGGCACCTTACAGAATTCAGCACTAATTTGTATCAAAATTGCTTGGTGTACACCTTTAACACATATTTTCTATCTATACTATAGAGACAACTCATATTAAGATACAGAAGTTGTCTGTACACAGACAACCTCGTATGTATAGACAGACAAAGTGTGTCAAACATATACACAAAAAAGTGTAAACCAAACATTTCTCAATTTCTCAATTTGTATCGTCTGGTTTGGCGCAAGTTTTGGGCTACACCTCATGTAATACCAAGTAGTACTTTAAATACATTCTTTTAAATGAAATTAAAAAAGGGATTATTCCCTTAATATTACTAAATTGGATTGAATTTCAAAAATTTGAGTACTTTTAAAAATTGACAAAAAAGTGATTAACAAGGTCACATATTTGGAATTAGATAAACATGATGTCACTGCAAAAAATTTATGTCACTTTGTTCCTTTTTCTTGTCACCGAGAGTTGTCAAAGTCAAAATTTCCACGCCAATCACACCGTCACTGCCACAGTGACATCGTCACAGTGACGCCGCCTCCGATAACACCACCACAGTGACATGCCGACTACAACCATAGTGACACCATCAAGCCCACCACCCACTGTCTCCAGCACCGTCCCACACTTGCACCCTCCTCAGCCCCTCCTCAACCCTGCCGCATCCCCATCCCCGACGGCCATCTACCGTGTCACCGCCGCCGGCCACAGTGACACCGCTGCCGCCTAGTGACACCCCCGCCGACATCGCCATACCATCAACACGGTCAAACTGTACTGCCCCTTCCCTTCCCAGCCATCCCCGATCATCACCGCCAGTTACCACCACCAGCCACCCACCTTCACCACTAACATCCAACCACCCCGCCCTCAGCCCCAACATCCAGGCCCCATCCCTACTCCCCTGTCCCCAGCCTCCTCCCCTGCTCCTCTTCCCCGCCTCTGTCCCCCCCCCCCCCCATGTCCTTCTCCGGCCAGTTCGGACAAAACCTCATCCATAACACCACCGCCAGCGACGGCGACCCCAAATCGAACCTCAACAACAGCGGTCAGCCCCAAATCGGACTCCACCTGCAACGGCAGTTCCAAATTGGACCCAAAATCAGAGCCATTGTCCATGGTGTCGTTGCCCTTTGAGAAAGATGGATCTGGAACCGGCGGCCTTAAGCCGTCGTACATAGCCATTGGCCGCACCTGCTCCACTTTGCCTAGATCCATCATTACTACCTTCTAAGCCCTACGTGCTTGACCTCTCCATTGACTGCAGAGAAAGAGAATGAATATAAATCAGCGGAGGGGAGGAGAGGGCGATGACGATGATGACTGGCGGAGCAAAAGCGGAGGCGGATGGCAGCCACCATAGTCGTAACTCGTAAGTTGCTGGATGTGAGGTCGATGATGGAGGATCGATGGAGGAGACCTGCTCAACTGCGTGGTCGCGTGGATAGTTCCAGACACGGTCCATTTCGATGCGGAGAGAAGCGATCGGGTCACATTTTTGCCATTATTTCATTAAAAAATTATAAGCAGAACAAACAAATTTGCTTCTTGTATAGTTGTATTGTAGTCAAAATGAAATAAAATGGATTCGACTCAAATTTCAAACATCTAAAACAAATGCTGTGAAGGATATGGAAGCCTGGAAAGGATCATGTAAAATATCTCAATAAATGAAAATTTATCCTTGCATTAGGTTGAAAATTGGAAATAGCTACAAGGATAAAAATTTGCACTATATCTATCTATCTTCCACTAACAGAGTGCGTTATGGTACAAACAACATGACCAGACTTTAAATACTGAAAAAGGGAGAGAAAGGATTGCTCGGGTTTGTTCATTCACTTGTTCTTTCCCTTGCCACCACTTCCCCCACCACCAGCTTTAATGGTGTCATAAGCAGAAATAAAAAAAGCACCCTGATTTTTCTGCATAAACCTGCAAAAACTCATCATTACTTATGCAATAACAACTATGGAGCGACACGGAGTATTTAAAAAAAACAGAACTCAAAGACGAGTAAACAACAAATACTTTAGAATATCCAACAATTTCTGCTGCAAGCACAACAGTGTCTCTTCTTCAATTTTCAGGTAAGCAAGGAGCTCAGGCAACTTAACTGCACACATAAGCAACAACTGAGATCATTGAGGCATTTAAAACTTGAAATACGTTTTTGATTTTTCACACCTTTAGTCTCCCAAAGGTACTCTTCGTACCGTCTTCGAATTTTTTCTATTTTGGTCCATGGCATGCAAAAAAAATCCATTTTTGGTCCTTGGATTCTTTTCCGGGAAAAGGCATCAGAAAACACATGTCACTCATATGTGCTTACTTTTAGAAGACAAAACCATCAGACCTCATATAATCTATGACTAGTTTCTTTTTCTAAGCTCTTCTCCATGCTGCTATAGTTTCAGTTCATCTCGCTCACAAGGCCAGGCATCTACATAAATTTAATAAATAGTGGTAGTGCTCTTTTTAGGCTAAAAATTGGGTCCTAAATGGTTGCTTGAATTGAGCAGTTTTATTTATTGTAAACCCCATTTTTACTGCTGATGATATTGGAATGTTCAAAAATGCTTTTCAATTTTACTTATGTCTTGAGCAATTTGTAGAAAACAACCATTATAAAAGAGGCCAGAGAGCTTCATGCTAAAAAATATTATTGCAATGTACAAAATCAACTTTTTTGCCCGATATCTATGTGGCGACGGAGATAGTAACGTTTATTTTGTAGCCCTCGAGCAGAGTTTAATTAAATATAAAGTTAAACGTACATCATGCATTGTACACCCATTTGTTTACTTTCCTATATTATTTTTACAGGTCCCGGGGATCCTTGTTCACAATAAAACCCAGTTATGTTATAGCTAAAGTGATGATCCTGCTAACTAGATTTTTATGAAGACCTCATATTTCATATGGCTAGCTTTAACTTGACTTTGGTTGTTATAGGGCTTTTCAATTTGGGAAATAAGGTAAAAGAAGGAACCAGTGTAATGTGCACGAGTAGAATTTTTTGACATGGCGATTTTGCCTTCTAAACTAAATCCTGTAGTCATCACATGCATCTTTTTTACTCTTTATTAGCCGAAAGTAAATTACTCACTACCATACGTGGAAAAAGTTGAAGATGGATACCAATGGCCGCACTACCACAATAATTGGAAGGTTAAAAGTAGCAAAAGCACTATTACGTAGTACAAAAATTACAAAACAAGCTTCCACTTTTGGTACCATTCCCAAAACAATTAGGACTTGCCCACTTTCGGCCCATGACATCGTTGTTTCCATTTTATGCACAACTGCGATTTTATGTCACTTTTGTTCCTTTCAGGTCACTAATTTGGTTGTGAAATCACTCCACTTGTCTCGTGAAAATCAATTGGTAGTTGACCGGTTAAGTGACCAGAAGGATCGTAAGTGGCAAAACAGTCCATGGTCATTCACCAAATGTAGAAAACGTAAATGAGAAGTAAAGTAGGAATGACCACCAAAGTTGAAATTTTCTTTGTATATAAATATTGAAAGTGCAAAATAAAGCTTACAGAAGCTCAAGAAAATGATGTGTACCAAAAAGACGTAAGAGATGTTCAGCACCATACACACTTGATGGAGAGGTTTTGGCTAAAACTGCTTCATGATACTGTTGGCGTTCCTTTTTGTACAAAAGCATGACAGGTAAGGACTTGTCAAAATAGCAGCGAATCCCATTGAGAATTTCCCCAACTGTATCAGTCATCCTGGGCCATTCAAAAAATGAAAAAGTATATTGAAAACTGTTACTTATGATGAAAAATCTATGGGCCTTACTGACCAGTTTTAGGGGTAACAAAGGAAGCTTCTTATGAAATCAAACTACGAAGATATCAATGACTTCAACTAGAGTAATGATTCTAATGAATATATTTACGGGATGCCATAAAGAACTCAAGATACTTACATGCCATCCTTTTCTGCTCTGTATTCAAGGTATCTTTTAAGTATATCATCAACATTGGGGGATCGGGGCAGTTGGACAAGCTGCAAGAAACATGTAATACAAGTTCACGACAATTGCAAACTAACTTTCTTATTTTAAGGGATAAAGAATTGGACAGACCACAGACTACGGACACTAATAATTTCATACATGTCCAATGAAGAAAATAGCTTTCAAAAGGACCACGCTGAAGATAAGCTAAGGGGCAGTTGGACAAGCTTTCAAAACTCAAAAGTTCACATGAAGAAAAGCTTCATTCATACTTATGGTAAAAGCACATACCTATCATAACTTCTGAATCCCATCTACAGTTCTACTTTCTATAAACAATTAATAGAAAGGGTGGCATGACAAAAAAAAGCACATAATCAGTACATACCTTGTTTTGTTGGGTTACAAACTCCCAATCATCAACGAGCTGCTTCTTTAAAGTGGACGGAATTGGAATTTTGACAAGTTTCTCAACATGTGCAATGTCTTTCTGTAGTCAACGACATTCCCATTAAAAGTCAATAGTAAATTAGGGAATTGGTATATAAAGGCATGTAAAAAAACAGATTTGAATCAAACCACATAAAAAAGAAACTTATTTATTCAACTTCAAAAGGTACCAAGGCAGTAATAACAAAATGAACCCGACCTCTGTTTCAGAGTCAGCCTTCCGTTTTTTCCCTTTTTCAACTGCAATACAAGTTCAACCGCAAACTTAAGAGTTTCAAACCAAGAAATAATAAAACAAATTAAAATATGCATTCAAAGTGGGTTCAAATATTAAGTAGTGATGCATTTTTCCTCCAGGCTAGTATATAAGAGCTTGGTTTAACAATCGAGCCTTGTGACAATGAGGAATGCGCTACAAAGGCAAGTAACCATGAGGGATGGGCTAAGAAAACACTGATGTAACACTCAACATGCAATGCATAAAGTTAAAGAAGCTGAAATAAGGCAGCCTAGTGCACATTAGCATCCCACAAGGTGAGGGTCTGCCGGTCCGGGGAAGGGTTCCACCACAAGGGTGTATAAGAACTAAGAAGCAAGCTGATAGGGTGCTGAAATATCAGAGCCGCAAGAAACGAGGAACAATGGTTGACTGAGTCTTCATTTATTTATTTATTTATTTATTATTGTTTATTTGTTTAAATAAGTCTGTTAGAGAAATAAGTGGGGTTTGGTGTCATGCATCAGTCCACTAGGGCAGTTATTAGATCATGGATGGAGTCGGTTAATGTGTCAGTTAGTTATTAGATCATGGATAAGTCAGTTATGGGTCAGTTGTATTTCCTTCTTTATAAATAGCCTAGCCTTATTCAGGTTGGGGGGCAGAATCAATATTAATTTCAGACTTGGAGATTCTCCCTTGGCTTCTACTATCGCTCATTTGTGAGATACTTACGGTGAGAGAGAAAGTAGGAGAGTTTAGCCACTCAATTCTTAGCCTCTGATTTCTGATCTTATCATTTGGTATCAGAGAAGGTTTTTATCCATCCATGATGACCACACGCTCATCAACGGCAACCCGCAATCCAGAGGAAAATCCATTTTCTGCCGATCCTCTGGCCACCATTGCAGCAAAACTGGAGACACTTGACGAGTTAAAGGAAAAAGTGATAGCCTTGGAGATTCAAGCCTCCAAATCCAACCAAGGGAAAGGGAAGACGAGACAGTGGGGCGATGATACTGAAGAAGAATCTGATTCGCACTGCCCGCGACCACCACAAGCAAAAATTGAATTCCCGAAATTCCAGGGAGGTGACCCGCGTGGGTGGATTCTTAAGGCTGAGAAGTTCTTCTGTTATTACGAAACACCAGATGATGACAAGGTGGACATAACTTCAATGTATCTGGAAGGAGATGCTCTGGATCTGTTCTCGTGGATGAATACGGAAAGGACTTTGCTTTACTGGGAAGAATTGGTGAAAGCTCTAGAGGAACATTATGGGCCTATAGAGTACTTGAACCCAGATGAGCACTTGTGCAACATTAAGCAAACAGGCTGTGTAGCGGAATACCGGCAAGAGTGGGCACGAAGGACTGCACGAGTAACCAACTGGCTAGAGCACTGCTTGCTTGGAGTATTCCTGAATGCTCTTAGAGAAGAAATCAGATCAGAAGTCAGAATTCATAAACCAAGGTCAGTTTATCGGGCTGCTAGTCTAGCCTTAGAATTTGAGAAAAAGCTAGCCCAAATAAAGGGATACAAGCCCAATTCTTATGTTTGTCAGAGTCAGCCCACCTTCAATACTAATCCCATTATTCCAGCACGTGACCAGGGAGTGATACCGGGAAATTCTAGTACGCCTTCTTCGACAAACCCAAATAGAGCCACAAATTTACTTCCATCCGCAGCACGCTCGTGGGAAAAAACGAAACAGCAACGGCGCGACAAGGAGTTGTGTTTCCGTTGTGGGGACCCATTCCGACCAGGCCATCGCTGTTCTACTACGTTTTCACTGCTGGAAGTTGTAGAAGACGAGAATTCAATGTCGAACTCTTTGGAATTAGCCGAAGGCACAGAACAAGAACCAGGAGTAGATTCCTAGATTTCTTTTAACACCATCCTGGGCAGTCCAACAGCAACAACAATGAGACTGCATGGCTTATTGGCTAATAAGGAAGTATTGTTGTTAGTGGATAGCGGTTCAACTCACAATTTCATATCAGATTCACTGGTAAGGGAACTTGACTTGGCCACCTCCTCTACTCAGACAATTGCGGTTCAGCTTGGTGACGGTCATGTGCTGCGTTGCAACTGTGTGTGCAAGGAGATTTCAATACAACTTCCAGGTTTGACCATCACCCAAGATTTTTATCCATTTTCCCTTGTGGATTCTGATATGGTACTTGGAATTAAATGGCTTGCATCACTCAATACCATCCAATCTAATTGGAATGAGATGTTCCTCATGTTCTGGGTGAATGGGAAGAAATATAAGTTACAGGGAATATCAAAGAGAGAGCGTCAGCCTGCAAGATTTAATCTTATGACCACGGTGGAGTCTGCATTTAGTACACCTGGTCGTGACACACTTAATGTGGAAAGGGTGTCCCTGGAATCTGAAGCTGTGTTTGCAGAACCAGTCGCTATGCCTCCATTCAAAGATCATTTCCATGCCATTCCTCTGATCCCGGGAGCTCAACCTCCCAACCTAAGACCGTACATGCACCCATATTTCCAACTGAATGAAATTGAGCGACAAGTGTAGGACCTTCTCCAAAAAAGGAGTCATTAGTCCCAGCTCCATTCAATTTGCAAGTCCAGTTCTGTCGGGGAAGAAACAAGATAATTCATGGCGTATGTGTGTGGACTATCGGGCCCTCAACAAAATCACAATCCCCGAAACGACTTTGGGCTGTCAGGGAGGATTCCTTAAAACTTTGAAAAGGCTCTCAGGTATTGTCAGATCTCTCATTCAACAATGCTTTGTGTCAAAAGAAAAAATATGACGCATTATCACCTACTGGTTTGTTACAACCCATACATGCACCGCAACAGACTTGGGAAGACTATGCGTTCTTAGTGCAGCAATTTCAAGAATTTCGCCTTGAGGACAAATCGGCTTTCAAAGGAGGGGATAATGATAGGGTGCTGAAATATCAGAGCCGCAAGAAACGAGGAACAATGGTTGACTGAGTCTTCATTTATTTATTTTTTTATTTATTATTGTTTATTTGTTTAAACGAGTCTGTTAGAGAAATAAGTGGGGTTTGGTGTCATGCATCAGTCCACTAGGGCAGTTATTAGATCATGGATGGAGTCGGTTAATGTGTCAGTTAGTTATTAGATCATGGATAAGTCAGTTATGGGTCAGTTGTATTTCCTTCTTTATAAATAGCCTAGCCTTATTCAGGTTGGGGGGCAGAATCAATATTAATTTCAGACTTGGAGATTCTCCCCTGGCTTCTACTATCGCTCATTTGTGAGATACTTACGGTGAGAGAGAAAGTAGGAGAGTTTAGCCACTCAATTCTTAGCCTCTGATTTCTGATCTTATCACAAGCCTTCCCTAGTCATTTTGACAAGAGGCTGCTCCCAAGACTTGAACCTGTGACCTTTCAGTCACACGCCAACACCTCAAGGTCAACATAGCAACACCAACACTGTTAAGTTAGTGGAACTGCAGAATGTAACAATTTTGCAGTAAAAAAATTGTAAAAATAACTTGTTCTCACTAAACAAAAGAGAAAAGGCAGTAACCTAAATTCATACGGAGTATTTATTTATTCTTATGAAATGGTAAACAGCCTTATGTCAAGAAAGATATGTGCATTATATGAAAGAAAGGATCATACCATGGTACTCAGTGTCCTCTTTATCAACTTTTGGATCTGATAAATTGAAGAAAAATGATTTCATAAAACATTTTAATTCTAAGCTAGCAATAAAGGTCAACACATAGTTCCAGCTTCTCATGAAAATAGAAAAATTCCTCTGTAACTGTACATCTAGACAGACATGGGGACTTGTTTGATGAGAAAACAGCTCTCTGATTCATCAAGCAATTAAGATATATACTCCCTCCGTCCCATAAAATAAGTCCCATTTCAATTTGGATCGGAGTTTAAGAAAGTGGGAATAAAGTGGAAATGTATGGTTGTGGTTGAGTAAGAAAAAGGTAAATGAATGTTAGCCACACAAAACTTTCCAAAACAGGAAATGGGAACAATTTTTTGGGACGGCCCAAAAGGAAAATGGGACTTATTTTATGGGACGGAGGGAGTATCATTTTTGCACATTGACCATTGTGTAACTGCTGAGTAGTTCATCTTTGTTTGAGTTCTTAAAAGTTACAAGTCCATAACTTTCTCAGAGATGGGCAGGACAAAACATGCCTGATAAGTTTTTAGGATTAGTTCGAGTTGAAGAGCGCCCTGATTTGGCACTTTTATCAAAAGATTGTCTCTTGCCCTGTGTCTTAGCATTCTCCTTGGTAAGCTTCATTAGCCGATCAGCACCTATCCATTCATCCCAACTGGTGCAAGGGAAATAAACTTTAATAGTTATTTTCCATGGTATGTTTGCACAAACTGTAGTTGGTCATACACTTGGGACATTGAAAATGAGAATCAACATGAAATACATTTAACTCACTTCTTGCTCCAACCCTGCAAATAAAAATAGATATTTTTCAGCTCAATGGGGGAACAAATTATGTACTCTAATAAATGAGACTGAAAAGCCTTGAAGATAGGCACTTCCAATTTTAGTAAACTAGGTATTTTCAAAAGAAAAAATGCCGCATACACTCCTACAATGCTATTACAGTTAGTGAGGGGTTGAAAGTTGTAATACAAGTACAGAACAAAACTAACCAAGTAATGAACTAAATATCTCCATTCCTTCTTTCGAAGCTCTGCTTTTAGAACCTTCATAGTAGAAAAGGCACATGAGCTGCATTAGCATGCTACCAGCAGAATATGATGAATATTCACCAAGACAGAAGCATATATGTTGTTAAACAAATAGTAAGTGAAATAGATGAATAATCCAGATAGCAAATTAGCTGCTGAAATCTCGGTGTAATCAGTGGCTAAGCTTGTTTTCCAATTTAAAACCCAGCTATTCATAATTTCATATGATGTGTGCATTCGGTGAGACGTAGAAATGCAACACTTGTTTAATCAGTACCTAGTAGAACGTGCAATTTCTAACCCGGATAGAACTGAGCTATGAAAAATCAAATACTACATCATAATAACGCGGATGGTTCTACAAATAAGTATAACAGATTATTGAGCAAGCTGTAACTCTGTAAGAAGCAAAATGAAATCATATTATACACGTGCTCATATACAGTTGTGAGTCGATGTACAGAAAAGTAAATCGAACTTAATGAGTTGATAGCTTGATACTACATACTGGTTTGAAGCTATTGATCAAAAGTCAAAACCTACACATTTTGGTTAGAAGGAAATGGGAGAGAGAGCAGGCATGCCTTGGCTTCGTAGCTGAGAGGGCCGTGATAAGCGAGGACCTTCTCTCCTTCAGAGTAAACACTCGAATTCGTTTCCGGGATGTCGTCGCTGGAATTGTCGTTATCGGTGGTGGCATCGTCCTTCGAACTCACCATTTTCTGTCTGACCGATATTGATAGACTTTCCTGACTTGCGCTTAAGCTCCGATAGAATTGAAGGACTTTAATGGCGTCGCCAATGATTCTTACTGCGTCTACTTCGAAACCCGTTTAAATGAACATAATTCAGTGCGCGCGGAGGCGATTGCGCGGGTGGGCTTTCCGGATCTCTCAGTTTCGTGGATTTTCCTTATCTCTTTCATTTTTGCAAGTCGTGTTTCTCATTAGAATTTGGACTACTTGCTGTAAGGGCCATGCTTGTCTGTCCGCCGGTCCGCCCCATCCTCCAATGCTATCCGAGAACATACAAGAAGTTTTTTCCACTTTTAGTCTCCGACTATTATTTCATTAACATTTTTGATATTAGACTTTGATTTTTTCCATTTTTAGTCATTGATTATTGCGCTAGAGACACTTTTGGTACTCATCTTTGAAAATTTCCATATTTAGTCCTTTAACTTTTATAAAAGTGACACTTTTGGTCCTCCAACTATTATAATAGTGACATTTTTAGTCCGCGACTTATTGTGTTAAAATTATGATGTGAGGACTAAAAGTGTCAATTTGACAATACTCAGGGACTAAATGTGGGAAACTTTGAAGTCGGGGACTAAAAGTGTCTCTAGCTAAATAGTCGAGGACTAAAAATGGAAAAATTAAAAGTCGAGTACCAAAAGTGTCATTGACATAATAGTCGAGGAACCAAAAATGGTAAAACTAGTACAAGAAATTGTTGAATTGAACTTAAAATTTTCATTCAAATGATAAAAGGTAATAATGACCAAAATTTTAGCGTCATCATACCAAATTACCAATAAAATAACATCCAGAGTTTTAAAATCTAGTCTAAAGGGTAAAAAATAATCATATTCCGCGGAAATAAAAATTCAAAATATTGTTTGGTATACGCCTTGTTTATCCATTTCCTCTCTTTCTCTTCTCCCATTCTTTCCTTCTTTCTTCCATCTTCAATCACTCCATCATCCCCATCTCCATATCCAACACCTTTCATCTTTACCATTTTCATCTTATTCATCTTTTTTCATTAGCTTTCATCTTTAGCTTGTCATGTTCTGTCATCTTTTTTATCACCTATTTGATTATCATCGGATTTGTAGTCATCAGAAGTGCCGCCAAAAAATAACCGGAATTGAAGTCATCAGGAGTGATATAGTTTATTCGTAGGACAAAATAAAATTGAAAAACTATTAACACTTTGTAAAATTTCCTCATAGCAAAAACACATGTATATAGATAAAAGATAACTTAAAAAGATTCTTTTTCTAAAGTATAAAAATGTTTTTAAAATTTCACCCTCCAAAGGAAAACATATCTCCAAAGGTAATAAAATAGCTCCAGAGTTTTGAATTCCAGATAATAAAAATGAATTCTAAAGTTTCATCATCTAAAAAAAGTTCCATACACCAGAAGAAAAATAATTGAGGCTCCAAACTCTAAAAAATGAAATTTAATATTTTTGATCAATAGATCAAATTTCAAGTTTAGAGTCCAAAGGATAAGAATACCCCAAAGTCCAAAGGAAATAAATGTACTTGAAAGTGTTAAAGTATTTGTCTCACATCGAAAGGCTATAATATAATAAAATATTATATAAGATTTTGAACTACTTCTTCTATTATGTTAGTCTTTTAAGATGGAACCTCGCGTCCAGTTGTATCAGAGCCAGGTTCAGTTGTGGTTTGACTGCATGTTTAGCATGAATGGTAGCATATTAATGGTCTGTTTGGCCCATTTATACAATCCAATATTGTCCAGTCCGATTCAAGCTGAGGGGACGTGTTAAAGTATTTGACTCACATCGAAAAACTATAATACAACAAAACATTATATAAGACCTTGACATAGTCCTCCTATTAGGCTAATCTTTTAAGATGGAATTCCAGGTCTTAATACAAAGTTCAAATGTTGAGAGCTCAAAAGATAAAAAGAACTTCAAATTAAAGTTTCAGTATCGAAAGGATAAAAAAGATATAAATTTTCAAAGTCTTTAAATGGGATTTTTTTCAAAAATATTATTAAAATAAAGCTTATTTACATAAGTATGACTAATAGTTACTATAAATTATTGTGATTCCATTACTACTGTAGTCACTTAGTCATATTTTTGTAAACAATTTTTATTTTAGTCATATATATATAAAATTATTTCATATTAAATTCTAAATTTTAGAGCTCAAAAGAAAAAAAAATTAACTCCAAAGTTTCTCAGTTTGAATTATTATATTCTTAACTCTAAATGTTCTTCCAATTGCGGGTTAAGGAGTTTGACGAGCGATAAATTTAAATGATCTCTGTGAAAAGTCGGATTATTTTTAGTAAATAAAGTTTATATATTCAGAAACTATATTAAAAATGCTACAAAACTTGCAAAAAATAATTCAATTTTCATAAAATTTTGATGTATAAAGTAAGAGTTTAAAAGTGATTTAAGTTGACTCTCGAAAAAAAAAATGGAAGTTCTTTTAGGGACAAAGTGAGTTTGTGTCTACTTCATTTCGATTTCATTTATATGTTAGGGTGAATAAATTTAAGTCTTTGAGTTCTGATCCAATTTATTTATGACAATTTAAAACTTCAAATACTCTATTGTGGGAGTTGGGTTCAAATACATGCGTATCTTGAACTAGAATATTTTAGTGTTGGTTCTTGGATGCCTCATGGCAAGCAATTTTTTCTACATCTACCATTTGAGAACCATGCTCCAAAGTATGGTTTAGACGTTTAGTGATAGGAGTCTTAGCAAATGTTTTAGGGATCCTCTTTCAGTTCCATTTCAGATTTGCCATTATTACTTTTATTTTTCAAAAATCATTCATAATTGCATTTAAAACTTGGTTCAATTTTAAAAAATCTATTTTTAACGAGAATGATTCTCTTTAAAACTTCATCTTTTAGATCAATCTTTTGTTGTGTTTCTTCAAATGTGCTCGGTTGTTTTACATGTATTTAGTATCATTAAAATTTAATTTGTCTCGCCGGATTATAAAACTCTTTTAGGACTATCCAAATTTAAGTAAACATGATTGTTGTGTCAGTTGTACTGAATATGTTTGATTTTCTAGATTGATTTGAAGGACTAAGCCAAATGGCTCTAATAATATAGCAGTTATGGAGTGCAAGAGAAAGGGAGCATATTTTTCTGGCATGCTCCTTCGCAGATTTTAAATGTGCTCAATTGTTTCACAAAAAGGAGTTTTTACGTCACAACTAAGAGCGAGGTATGGATTTAATTGATCTTTACACAATGAGATTACTTAAGAAGAAGGATGTGCGGTTACGTTGGTGCATTTGAAAGGTAAGCACCTTGAGGGTCAAATAATACTTCGTACAATATACTGTATTTACGTTGGTGCAAGAAAACTGAAGATTCAACTTTTGGAGTTTTTAAATCCAAAAAGCACTAACACAATTTTTTAATTCACTGTAACGCCACAAATAACTGCACTTTTATATGAACTTGTTTTATACTACCTCCGTCCCTTAAAACTTTGCCAAAGTTGACCGGCACGGAAAATAATAAAGTAAAAACTGTGTGGTTGAGGTTTGTGCAGAGGAGGGAGAAATAACAGAAACCACAAAACAATTGATTAAAAGGGAAAGCGGCAAAGTTTTTTGGGACGTCCCAAAAAGGAAAGATGGCAAAGCTTTAAGGGACGGAGGGAGTAACTTTTATTTTTATTAATTGAAGAAAGTAAAAAAATGATTTTTTTATTTTGTAACATGGAAATGTGTATTTGTAATCTCATTATTATTCAAAAAAAACAAAGGAAAATATTATTATAATAACTTAATTAATTAATGTTACACTGAATCGCTAGGCTAAAGTATGTTAAATACGAAGTACTACGTACATTTTATTGATGAGATTGTCGGATACTCGGATAGATGAGATCAAATCCGAGACACTAGTATCGCCGTAGTCAATCTGCGTCGTTAAATTTTGATGTGAAAATCTATCAGAGTGGAGATTCGATATCTATGAATGTGTTCATAACCTTTTCATTTATAACCTTTTGATGTGAAAATCCACCCCATAATATTCTATAAATGTTTTTCTTTTAATAAGACGTGCTTGTTTTTCTTTTACCGAATTAGAGTCAGTAATTGATTCATTCTGGAAAGAAGTACAATATGGTGGTATATTTTGTGGTAAATTGACGATTAATGAGATAAAGGACCCAGAGAAGATTGGATCTATAGTTGTTCATCTATAACTATCTACAAATGTAGTTTATAAAAATAATCAAAAATTTAAACACGATATGAAGTAACATTTAACTTATCTTTTTCTAAGAGAGGAAGTTTATGTCAAACACATAGCCCGTTTGAGAATACTTAAATTGACTTTATTCGTTGATTCTGTTAAAAATTTTGAAATTAAGACTGAAGTGGCTAGATTGGCCGGAGCGATTGAATTAGGTGATTTGTCAAATACAAATCGGGTGTATTTGCTGATTTATGGGAAATTTTTATTTTGTGATTAAATAAAGAAAAATTTATGTAAAAAATTGCTAAAATGGTCTTCTACAGTAACTTCAGCCACAAGCATCAAAGTAACGTAAACCTTACTTTTTCTTATTATTACACAATTTAGCGCGCGGAATAGAATTTACATGTTTGAAGAAATAGTTAGCTAATCAACCTGATAAGGAAAAAAACAGGATTACCAAAAGGGCTCACAATGTCATACAAATGGCTCATTTTGGTTTCAGCTTTTGTGCCTTCAAGTACACTACCAAAAAACCTCGTTATAGGCTCGGAAATAGGCACAACTATAATCCCAACCAGAATTGGCGCGGACTAAGGCTCAGATTACCTAAAATCTAGTTTTATTTCGGCCTTGGGCACGGATATTTCCGTGCCTACTAGTTTGGCTCAACAATTTAGAGCCTAAATCCGTGTGACGGCCGAAAATGGGAAAAAAAGTTGCCCAACGTGAGTGTCCGACGCAAATTCCATCGCTATTTGCCTGAGAAAATATTCAGAGCCAAAAATGAAGGGTTTTCCCTTTTACTATGGTACGGATTTTTCCATGACAACATTCCCCGTGCCAAAATCCGAGACAACATCGTACTTAAAACAACTAACACCATATCTGTGCCAATTCCCGAGCCATTAGTCACGGGGGTAAGTACTGGTGATTTGATGTTTGAACTCCCGAGCCAAATGTTGAGCCAAAATGTTACCGTTATTTGGGCAGACATTTGCCCGAGCCAAAATCCGTCCCTATAATTAGCTTTTGCGATAAATGTAATTTTCGTGCCAATATCCGTGCGAAATACGACCATTGGATTTCTTTTCCCTCGACCTGTCTAATTGTGTGCCAAAATCCATGCCTAATAAATCTTGAAATACTCCATGTTTTTTGTGAAACAAACTACATCTTAAAAATTATGCCTTTTTATATGAATTCTAGATAGAAGTTGGAAGTTATATTATTTGCTATCTGGAGGTTTTCTATTTGGATTTCTGAAAAAAGGTATCATCATTCTATAAAGTATGTAAATTTCTGCCATTGTGCTTTTAAATTAATTTCATCCATATTATGAGTTGTTATTAGTATGATTTGTCTTAATTATATTGATTGCATTTTAGTGTTAGCTTTAAAACTTGAGTGGTTAACTTGTAAATTTAATAAATTAATATTTATTAATTTTTTTTAATATTCAGGCACAATGTATAAACAAATTAGAAGTTGGATGTATAACCCAACTCCTACGTCGAAAATGGTAAAGGATTGAGAAAAGAGTTCACTAATGGAGTTGACGAATTTATTAAATTTGCACAAGGACAAACACGGTATATGGATGGAAGTAAAATAAGATGTCCTTGTACAAATTGTAAAAATAACAAATTTGTTGAAGGTGAGGATGTTTGTTGGCATTTATATACGAATGGTTTTGTTCAAGACTATTACAATTGGACTTCTCAAGGAAAACCAATCGAGTCATGTTTTTTGCAACAAACCGTAGGAACATCGAGGTATGTTCCCGATGAGATGTCTAATTGGGGAAATTATGAAGAAATGACATGGGATAAAAAAATGTTGTATGATTTGGTTGGTCCTTCTACGTTTCCCAATATCCACACAGATAGTGATTTAAGCGCACACAATAATGTGAACAAAGGACCAAGTTCATCATTTTATGATGTGAATGTGTTAGGCACTAGATTTCAAGATGTGCTCAAAAGTGCTGATCAGCCTTTATATTCTGATTGTTACGGTCATTAGCAATTATCAGCAGTTTCGGAATTTTTGAACATAAAGTCAGAATATAACCTCTATGAGAGCTTCATGTCAAAAATATTAGACTCAATTGGTAGTATGTTACCTCGTGACCATTGTCTTCCCGATACTTATTACAACATGAAAAGGTTTGTCTTAGAGCTAGGTCTCCCTATGATAAAAATCCACGCATGCCCTGGAGGATGTATGTTGTTTTGGAAGAACGATGAAACACTGATGCGGTGTAAGTTTTGTAATGTGGATAAGTACATGCCTGTATAAGCTATGAGTCGAAAACCACGAAAAATATCTGCATCATCTAAGTTGATATATCTTCCTTTAGCACCACGATTGCTGAGATTATATGCCTCAAGCGCTCCCCTGGACATCTATATGAAAAATCATTTTATGTTTTTATCATTAATGTGTCTAGGTCCTAGTAATTCAAAAAAAAAAAGAACTGACGTGTACTCGCAGCCATTGGTTGAAGAGCTGAAACAATTATGAGAGGTTGGTGTTCCTACATACGATGTTTCGATGGATCAAATATTTAATATGAAAGCTGCAATTATGTGGACAATTAGTGATTTTCCAGCATACAAAATGTTCTCTCGATAGAGTACTGCAGGTCTTATGGGGTGCCCTCTTTGTATGTAAAAGTCAAATGCAATTTGGCTAAAGAATAGTCGCAAACCATCTTACTTTGATTGACACCGGGAAATTTCTCCCTATGAATCATCCATATCGAAAGGATAAAAAGTCATTCGTCAAGGATCACATTGACCGTGATCCTCCGCCTTCGAGCTTAATAGGATATCAGATTTATGATTGTGTTCGAAATATCCTTTGTGCCATAGATGATCCTTTTGAGAAAAATGTTTTCGATAACACTTTTAACACGCTGATGAACTTCAAGGGAAAGACTAAGGATGGCCTTTCATCAAGGAAGGATGTAGCTTTGTTTTGCGATAGACCGGAAATTGCTATGGGCCCTGGATATGTCGGTCCTTTCAAGAAAGCAGTTTATCAACTCACGAACGAGCAAAAGAAATGCATATTGGAGTGGCTCATCCAGCTACAATTTCCTGATGGATACACTTCTAGTTTTCATAGATGTGTTGACTTAGAGAAGTTGTTGATGAAAAATATGGAGTCATGATTGACATGTAATCATGCAGCGCCTCCTTCCAATTGCCTTGAAGGAAAATCTCCCGGATAATGTGTGGGCGTCTATTTCTGACGTTTGTCAATTATTTCAGTTAATATGCTCATCAGTTCTAGAGATACAAGCAATTCAGGAACTTCACCGTAACGTTCCTACTATTTTGTGTACTTCTGAAAAGTTTTTTCCTCCGTCTTTTTTTGATGGAATGGAGCATTTACTTGTCCATCTTCTATTTGCCGCGGAATAGGTTGGGAACCATTGGCTGGGAAATATCCGAGTTAAAGGAACCAGTTATAAAAATGTGTGACCCAGGGTAAGCGTGCCAAAGTCTGTGCCAAATGATATCCAAGCCATTTTTATTTATTTATTCAGTAATGTTGGGCTGGCATTTTCCGAGCAAAAATCCGTGCTAAGGTTTGGCTCGGTCATTGATTGTCGTGCTAACTCATTTGACACGAGTGATGGCACGTATTGGACATCCGTGCCAAAGCCGTGCCAAGATCATTATTATGGGATTATAATGAAGTGATTTGTGCCAAAATCCGAGCCTATGCTGACTTTTTTTATAGTAGTAGGCTCCAACACGTGCCAATATGCAGGGTTTTAACTTTTAAGTGTAAAAAATGACGTTTTGTAACTTTAATCTAAGACTGACTGTAACCTTGGGGTGAAAAGGCCAATTTTGAACTTTTCACCCCAGAAACCACTGCGGTGAGAATCTACCTTATCTACGGTTTTATTGATAGAAAGAGAGAAGTTGGGGTAAGAAAAACTTGAAGGGAAGGAAAGGGTGGGCCAAGATAAAATAAAATAAAATCTCATATTTTTTAAGTGTTGTAACTTTTTTATTTGTATTCCGTTTTTTTTCTTTCAAAAAATACCAAAATTCATAACATTTTATAATCTTTCACATGACACCAATATTGCATACGGAGTATATAATTTAAAAAAATCAACTACATAAGGTTTTCAAATAAAAAAATTTCTTAAATAGATTCAATTATGGGAAATTTACCCTAATATTACTAAAAGAGAGAGCATTTCTCATTATATGACTAAAAAACTTAATTGATCAAAATATGACCAAAAATAACTAACGGTGAGCATCATAACCGCAAAAAAAGCATTAGAAAGTTTCCCCTAATGCATATGGAACGTGGTTGGCATATCACTCTCCCACCAAATTAGGAAAAAAAAGATTAGGCCATAGATTGGGAAATAGATAATCTTTTAGTCATATGAGAAATAATTTTCTCTACAATTATTAAGTTATCACTGTTATTTTATTTACATCTTTAATTTTTTTTTAAATACGTATGGTGTAACAAAAAAATTAATTACAAATTTATTTAGTTTTACATCAGAATGTTTGGCTTTTCAAATCATAATTATTCAAATGAAAAAATTGAAAAAATGATGTTAATAATTAAAGTATGACATTAATTAAAAAAATTGTCGACCGAGTATATTGACAATGTTGAATTGTAGCAAAAAATGAATTGCTTGAATGAATACATATAAAGTTGTGGGGAATTTAATTTATTGACGAAGATAGTTAGCCTAAACGCCAATATCCGAACAAATCAAAAGAATGATCGCTCTGGAGTCTGGACTCTGGACAAATAAACAACGTGATTTGCAAATAGCGTTGTTTAATGTTTAATACTCCGTACGACGTATTAGAAACATTAAAAGTTTTAGAATTAGCCATTAATTCTTTATTATTATCAACCACAACCTATTTCCTTCGCCTATACATAGAGCACCCGCCTGCACATGAACTGATGAACCCAGAACCCCCCACACGTATAACATTATTATTAAAAACGTATCAATAGGTCTGGACAATTGAAGGATCACATAAATGGGCTAAAAATTGACAAAAAGACTAACAACTTTGCATAAATAAACATTAAGCTACTTAAGATCAACCTTCTTATACAAGAACAATATATACTCAGAAACTTGTCACTCCACATGGAAAAATAACTGATCAAATTCAGATACAACCACAACACATGCAAAGGTGAATTGAACTTCCTTAATATGGTAGAAGCAGAACATGCACAGCTACTTTCTGAGTTCTAGGCCCTCGTTTACTAACAAATTAAGAAGCGATCGACTTGATTATCAGACTAAGACGGGTTTCACCAAATACTTCCTTTTAGAATTTCAGCACATTCACCCATTTTCATCAGATAACTTTCACCAAAGAGGTCCCTATTTTAAATCATCTTGCAGCATCGAGTTTTTGCAGCTGGGAGAAAGCTTCTCGGGCAGCCATCCCTTCGTTTGCTGTCAGCGAATCCTCAACTTCTTCTTCCTCCTCATCGTCATCGCTCACCTGCATTACGTGTGAAGGCAAGTGGTGAACGACCCGAGGCGGCAACTGCAAAGAAACCATAGTCGAGCTGTCATCCCCGTGTGGATCTAGGGGCAATACTCCAGTGTGCTGTAGCCTCAGCGTATACTCCAAGTCCCACATCACATCAGCCATACTAGGCCTATCAACCCCATAGTCTTGCAAACACTTCTCCACGATCTCCCCAAACTTCCTCAACGAGCTCGGGTTTATCTTATTGACCAACAAAGGGTCAATGATCTTCCCAAACTGTCCCTTCTTTTGCCACGTCATCCCCCACTCAGCCAAGTTCACTTGGTCCCTCGGAAGCGATGGGTTGATCGCAGATCGTGCACAAACTACTTCAAGAAGTACTACCCCAAATGAGTACACGTCAGATTTCTGTGTAAGCTGCATGCATCTATAGTACTCCGGATCAAGGTACCCGAAACTACCCTTCACTTCGGTGCTCACGTGAGTTTGATCGAGAACCCCGGATCGTGATATCCCAAAGTCCGCCACTTTCGCCACGTATTGTTCGTCGAGAAGAATGTTAGTTGACTTTATATCTCTATGGATGATTGGCGAGTTCAAACCAGCGTGAAGGTAATGCAAGCCCTTCGCCGCCCCTATGCATATTTCCAGCCGTTGATCCCAAGACAAAGATGAAGGTTTATCTCCCGAGCAGTACAAATGATCCCTCAAAGTGCCCTTCTCCATGAATTCATAAACTAGGATCATCTCATACCTCTCGTCGCAATATCCAATCAAGGAGACAAGGTGGCGGTGGCGGATCTTGGACAAGACCATGATCTCTGTTTGGAATTCTAGTAAGCCCTGTCCATGTCCAGGTTCACTTCTCTTAACCGCCACTTTTAAGCCATTCCGCATCGTCCCTCTGTACACCTTCCCAAACCCTCCCTCTCCAATCATCCCTTTTGGGTCGAAATTCTTTGTGGCGATAAGGATTTCAGCTAAAGGCACTTTCAACCCTAGGTTCCTCATTTCAGGACTCATCAAAATAGCACTCTTTTCAGTGTTCTGGCTCTGCCAACTCCTTCCAAAGATCTGATCAAATGGGAAGTCAGAACTCTCAACCACTTTCCCCTTTCTTGAATTGTGACATAAGAAGATTGTCATAAGAATGGCTCCCAACACAAAGACGAGAACTGAACAGCCAGCTATTGGAGCAGTTAGGGTCAGAAAGTGTTTCCACTTTGGCTCCCTCTCATCGCTGATCACGAGTTTGACCTTACTTAGCTTCATTATCTCTATGCCGTTCAGAAAGGCGGACTTATAAGTCGAATCTTGAAGTGGCTTCACAGTGACATTCATGGCACCTGAAGAACCAGAGTTGGCCAGGTAATCAAGGTAAAATGGAGTTTTCTGGGAAAAAACTCTATCATATGGACTCACAACTTTAACAAACTCCTCATCCACAAACAAATCGAACTGAGTGTCGTTCCGAGACGGGCTGACAATGTCAGAGAAATGCAACCTTATAAAGTATGAAGAATTCATAATCACAGGAAAACACCATGTTATATTAGTATTATTTTGACTATTGCTGTCAATGGTTATCACTCTGGCACTACTGTAAACAGGATCAGGGGCATCATATGGAGTTGCCCATTCTTGGGCGTAGTAGGGTTTATCAACATCATGTTTAATCGAAGTCCTTGATTCCGGGAAAAGCAGGTAATCATCGTCGGGCTCCCAATTTCTCCACAAAGTATCATTCTTTTGAGTAATTCTTGGACCCCCAACATTAATTCTATAAATCACATCTAAGAAATTCGATGACAAGCTACCGACAATGTTCATCTTGTTTACTCCGACTGGAATAGCCTCATCGTCGATGGAGCTATCCGGGGCTAGGAAAGCCTCAATCGCATTTACGAATGCAAAAGATGATTCTTTAGAAGGTATGAAGTAAATCGTAAGCTTTTTGTCCTTCACCCAGAGCAAAAACTCCTTTATGACAGGAAATTTGGAAGTGGGTGATATCCCGACGCTGAAATTCGACAAGAGCGAAAACCCAGAAGCGGAAACATGAAATTCAGCGTCCGAGAGATTAAGGGAGGAAGAAAATGGGTAGAAATGGAGGCGTACCATGTAAGGACCGTTCTGATCTGCCTCGAATTCATACCGAGAACTCCTACCCTTGAAAACTCTTGCAGTTTTATATAAAGAAAATCGGTTCGGAGGGAAACTCAGATCTTCGACTTGAGTACTGTCGCCGGTGAAGAAGTCGTCGCCGGCGAATGTCCTCTGGGTGTCTGGCACCGGTGAGCGTGAGCCGCAGTTGATGAAGTAACGGTCAGGTGGACTGTAAGCGTGGGAGTGAAGGGGGAAGGAAAGGATAATGCAGAGCAGATGAAGAAACGGAGAGGGAGTCATTATCATCCCGGAAAGGCGAAAGCTTTCCATGGATGGCTGCTTAATGACAGTGAAGAGTATGTGGCTGTAAGATGCAGACATGGACTTCATTTTGACGTGCAGACTTGCCACTCACTGCCCTTTGGAAAACCGACTTTATTGAATATTACAAATTTATTATTCCCATGTTACCATGTACCAAAAAATAAAACAACACTATGAAAACGGATATTTTTTTGTTGATAAAAAGCTGAACTTCATAACTGCAAAGATAAGACTGCATCATTGACTACATAAAGGTTGAGATTAGGGTTGGACTCGGGTCCGGGCCGGGTCCGGGTCGGGCCTAGGCCCGGGCGGGCCGGCGGGTCAGAAATGGTGGACCCGGGACCGGCCCGGGTAACCACCGGGTCCGGTCCGGGCCGGGCCCATTATAATTTTTTTTTTGTTTTCCTCTTCCTAAGTAACCCCCCTCCCACCCCCAACCCCCAAACCACCCCAAATGGCCCAAAATACCCAGCCCAACCCAAAACTTTAAAAAAAATTGCAAAAAAAAAAAATTGTTTTTGGCCCGAACCGGACCCGGACCCGGCCGGGTCGGGCCTTGTTTTGGGTGACCCGAGCCCGGACCGGAAAACCCACGGGCCGGGCCTACCCGGACCGGTCACTGACCGGGCCACCGGGTCGGGCCGGGCCGGAACAGTACCGGTCCCGGGCCGGTTCCGGGTCGGGCCACCCGGCCCGAGTCCATCCCTAGTTGAGATGAGATGAGATATCACTTAGACACATTATCATACTCTACCCAAATTTCTACCGAGTATACTACTCTTCACTTTTTAAAAAAAAAAAAAAAACAAGAAATTATACGGAGTATTAATTTCAACAATAATTAAGAGTCATAATTAGTCAAAAACCGAAGATCCATCAATTATCTTCTAATCAAAAATATTTTTTTGTACACATTATTTTTATGTGCACTTTTACACATGTCCATGTAGGTTTTTTTCTTTCCGTCCCACACAAAACAGTGTGTACAACAAGAATGATCTATCTTCTAATAGAATTCATTTAGACTCAAGAAAAACTTTACGATTAGACTCTGAAGGTCACCAAAAAACTATTTCAAGCTCTACGATTGGACCACGTGATAAAGACTCCAAAGAAGAAGCAATTTGAATCGTTGATCACCAATAGAGCAACGTAGAGTTCTTTCTGACCTGTAAGGTCATCATACTCTTTATCACTTCAATAAATTCAAAATAACCAAAGAGTTCTCTCAATCCCTGATTTGACATAGAAAAATTCACTCAAAACGGGGCGAAATTTCTCACTGAACATATGGGAGATTTGGGGCAAATAACGACCATAACCACCCCAAAAATACCTCTGCCACAAGCAAGCCAAAAATATAGTAAAAAGTCTAAAACAGAGCAATAAACCGCATGCAGCCAGATCCAAACTTGAAGTGTCTTTTTTCAAACCCTAACCACCCTGATCCCTCCATGGAGGCAGTTCAGGGGGGACGATGTAATACTTGAGATTAATTCAAAGAGATTAATAATACTACTCATATCAACAAGTTGCATCTCCTTTTAGGGGAGCTCATATCATAAGAACTCCAAGTTAAGCGTGTGATGGAGAGTATATGGACTCTGACCCCCCGGTTTGCTTATTATTGGGTCCGGACAACGATTCACGTATACCTATCAAATGCCATTTATATTATTGTACAGTTTACACATTCATTGTATGTACTAGATTAGCCTTTTATGTTATCAGTCCTTTTATGTAACCAGGTCTGTCAGACCCATATTAAAGGCCGAGACCCGGATTTTCCTATATATACTCCTTTTTGGGGCTTGTAAACATAACTCACAAGTCACAATTCATTCAACATTATACACATTCTTCTTCTCCATTACTCTTCAATCTCTTCTTAGTTATAGGATATGGGTATCAATTATCCAACAATGGTGCTCTCGTTGAGGGGTTGAACACAATCAAGTGAGAAAACCTCCCAAAACATCCAAAAATCATTCCAATCACAAAAAAATCAGCTCAAAAATGATCTGGAAATAAAAAAAAATCAGAAATTAGATCTAGAAAGAGCAAGGAACGAGATCAGAAAATTAGCGATTTCCGATACAGAGCCAGAGATGTCTTGCCGGAAAGACCGTCACCATCGACACACACCATAGCAGAGGCTTGTCGCCTGCTGAAGCTCACCACGTCCCCAGGTCTGAGCTGAAGCCGCTGCCAGGTACAAGTTCCTCCGCCTCAACCCTGACAGCGACGCGCCTGGCCGCTGCGCCACCACATAGGATTCCGAGCTTGAACGACTCAACCCCTGGAGCTTAACCTTAAGAGTCCGCCATTAATGGCCGATTAGGAAGCCCCGTTCTCGAGCCATAATCCAACCTAAAGAGGCGGGAGGATGCACCAAGCTGAGGAATGTGCCGGTCAAGGAAGCCCCAAGTCCGTGCTCCGCCGCGAGGACAGCTCGCAGTCGCAACCAGAGCTCCACATATCCCGTGACGGCAAAGGCAAAACCAAGAAACTGTCTGGAAAGTTCATAAAAGAAAAAAATCTGGCAAGAACAGATGAGGAGTCAGAAAGTCTGGATTTTGCAGATGGCCGGAGCAACGTCATCCTGCAGCGACGTCCCAGGTCAGCCGCCCACTTCTGGTCTAGCACCCCCTGTCGTCGGCCTGTCGTCGGCTAGCCACCATCGCCACAGATCTAGCCGGCCGTCGTGGGCTGTCGGGTGTAGTTTCTGTATTGGAATCCCCAAACCTCGGGATTTGGAAAAAACAAGCTTCGTAGCTCCCCCACCAGACCTCACCGCACAACGACGGCACTGGAAGCTCGATCCAGCCTCCAACTTTGTAGCAACGCCTCCGTTCGCCGCACTTTCCTCCGTTCGCCGCTCTTTCCTCTGTCACTCCGCTCCAGCTTGCACTGCTATGCCTGGGAGCCGTCTTAGCTCGTTCCGGTGACCAACTAAGGGCTCTTCAGTCGCGCAGAGCCCTGTCGCACAGCTGACCCTGGGGAAGCGACAAGTTTTGTCACTCCGCTCCAGCTTGAACATTACTTAAAGAATCAACAAGTTTTGTTTCATATATTAATTATTACTAAAAACTATCAACGAACCGATGGTTAATCGTTGATGGTTCACAAGTAAGTAACTTCGGTTTATTAATGCACGGTCGTGGTTGATAAACTTAAGAGGGGTTAATTTTGTTGGTTAAACCGAAACCGTTGTGCTGAGGTTATCAATCTCAATTGATTTCATCAAGGAGTTAAGAGATTAAATGCTACTATCAAGTCGCTATATGACGCTCTTCTATACTTGACTAATAGTAAGGGTTATTAATGAACGGTCGTTGTTAATAACAACCCTCGATGAATTGGATATACTCCTTGATTGAGTATTCGAGAGGGAATAAGTTATAGATATAACAATGATCGACTAAAATATATCAACAAGTGGAAAGTAACAATGCCAAGTTCTTTTTATCTTTGAATTAAATCTCATATAAGTCATTAATCTTAGTTTTTAATTTAATTAAATCATTCAATACCAAAACCCCCCTTTTTATTTACTAGTTTCATAAAAAGAGAATTATTCCTTTGCCTGTGGATACGAACTCTATTTCACCTATACTATGTATAAGTGCTAGTACCGATTTATTTTTCAAAAACCCTATCGGGTTTATGGGTTTTTAACCAAATTTTATCCCGATATCAGTTCGAACCAAGCCTCATCTTCCCCAACTTTCAAACTAATCTTCCCCAAGACCCATAGCCACGAAATTCCCTCTTCCAAATCATCCCAACCCATCACCAAAAAAAAAATCTCCTCATCTCCGTCATCACTCTCATATCATAAAAAACCCAATATCCCTCACTCAATCCCTAAACTTGAAATACTAGCCCAAACCTCGTCAAAATCCCAATTTCTCAAGAACAACAGTACTCATGACTACCAAGGCGAGGATGAAAGCAAGGAGCACTATGGACAATGCTCGAAGTAAGTAGGAGGGAGTCACTCATTTGGTATATACTCATTTTTTACCTTGTAACTTGCATTATTTTCTTCAACAACAAAAAAACGAAAAAAAGAATAAATAAATAAAAGAAAAAATGCTAGTTAGGTTGAAAACCCAAAATTTGGGCAATCTAAGCAAAAGTGGCTAAAATGAGTGAGTTGGGAGAAAACGGAAAATAAAAAGAGAGGCTAGGATGAAAACCTGAAAAGGCTCCTAGGCAGAATGAGAGAATGAGAGGAAATCTTATCTGAGATTATACAGGAACTCATTTCGTTTGGGAATTTTTGGGATACAATCAATGAAAAGAACATTTGTTCTCGAAGATCATGAAGACCCTCTTTTCTTTGTATTTGGAGGATGGATGAACAAACTGAACATTTTATTCCTTTGAATTTATCTGTTCAATGGATTGTGAGCTGTTATGTTGACTTTTACTCGAGGATGAGTAATGAACTAAGTAGGGGGGAGTTTGATAGTATTGAATTGTTATTGTTTATGTTTGTAATTTTAATTAGTTTTATCTGTTGTTGTTTGGGAAATTACACACTTTTGGTGTAATACTTTATTTTTCCTAGTTGCTTGTAATTTGTATAAATTAGGAATTTTCTGAGCTTAAACTAGGTAAAGATCATCAAAAGGATCCTGAAAAGGTCAAGGAAAGTGCAACGGAATAAGACAAAGTGGAAATTTAGGGAAATAGTCAAAAACCCGGTCGGGTTTTGCAAAAATCCGGTCGGGTTTGACTTGACCCAAAGATCAAATTTGATTTTGGAGGCAATTAAACGTGCAGGATGAAGATTTGACAAAGATTTGTCTTTTACCCGATCGGGTAAATAAAAAACCTGATCGGGTAGATGTGACTAATGAAGATTCCGGGCACTTACTCAAGAAACCCGATCGGGTTTCTGAAAAACCCGGTCGGGTAAATGACTCTGCCACCTCCAAACACCTATAAATACCCCTTTTCCTTCCCATTTGACCATCTCTTCTTCCATACTATTAAGCTCAGTTTAGAATAGCATTTCTTTATATTTTTCTAACTATGTTTAGTCTCCAAATGAGGAGCTAAACTTCCATTCTTGGTGTTGCTCTTGAAGCTTGTTGATTATTAAAGTTGTGAG